CAGATCCGGATACACATTTCATCACCCCGGGGAGGCTTTCCCTAAACCCTACCCCAAACCCTAAACACCCCGGTACCCTAAACCTACCCGTGCAAAACCTAAACACAAACCCTAAACACCGCAAACCTTAAACACCCGAAAAAAGCCTTGCCCAGGTTCTCTTGGTGATTGCCGTGCTCCTTGCGTTCAACAGTCGCATCGCCAACTTCACCCAGGCATAGTATAGTGTGCTTCCGCAACCTTGGGTTTTTTTAAATCAGAATAGGCTTGATAAGCTCGCGTCATAGGATTTTCTCGCGGAGTGGATTACGAGACTTGGCCGAAGAGTACATCATGCAGCTACGTAGATGGCGCGGGCGGGCTATGGTTTAGGGTTTAGGGTTTAGGGCTTACGCCTGGGGGCGGGGTGGGTTGCTGGGGTTTGCAGGATGTTACTTACAAGGGCTCCAACGTTTTTCAGGCATGACACAGCACACAGCACCAAACCCCCAAGCCGCCAACCTAAACCACCTCCAAAGCCGGCTTGGGCTTTGTAGGGTTTATATAGGGATATATATAAGGTTTTATATAGGGTTTAGGGGTTGAGGGGTTTTATAATATATAGGGGTTTAGGGCCGTTGAGGGAACCACCGGAAGCCCGAAAATTTCCTAAACCGAAACCCACAGCAATCACCTCGAGAAGCTACCCAAGGGAGAACTGGGTTTAGGGTTTAGGGTTTCGGGTTTAGCCCGATTTCAAGTTTCGAGCCAGACCCACCAAAATCGAGACGGATGCAGAGGATTACAGGCCGTAATAATCAGAAGGGTGTTTTGGGGCCGATTCTACTATATACTTATAACAGGGAACCCCCAAAATACGGTTGATGATACAAAACCAGCATTGTACCCAAAATAAGGAATACTAGATTTCCCTAGGGTCCTTAAGGTAATGCAGGATCTTCTATCATTAACAGTAGCATTGGTGATTATTTAGGCCCATGGGCCTTAATGTCTCGGGTTTGGGGGCTCTAACCCCTAAACCCCAAACCCTAATAAACCCTATATAAGCCCTTTAAGCCCCTATAAACCCTTTATAAACCCTGTACCCCTAACCCCATTATAAACCCTATTTTTATCGGTTATAAACCCTTCATAACTTCCCAGGAATCCGATCGATAAACCCACCCTATACAATCACCCTAAACTGCCCAACCCTCAATAGGTTTACGATGCCGGGGAGATCTTCGCTGGCGCCGCCGTGGTCACCAGAGCTCTTCGTGCTGCTGGCCGCACCACTGCCAGCATTGACATAGACTTCTGGAAGGCCTATGCAGAGGAGCGTGTTTTCCATGGCAAGAGAGTTACCAAGAGGAACCCGCTTGATCTTCTGGAGTCCAGTGGGTTTGTGTTGCTTGAATTCAATAGTGGATGCACATACTGTGTTTTCTAACATACATGGATGCGCCGGGCAGCATGCATATCCGAGGCTAGTATTGATT